TTATTTTTTTATCAACGTTGATCTGATCATTTTGCTAGCAAACCTTCCCTTTATAAGTATAGGGGTAAATAATAATAACTTATAAAATATCCCGATGATCTCCAAGAATTATGACATGTAAGCCTTTTGAGCAATATTGCCGAGGCTGGTATTACTTATAAATTATATTTTTAAAAATAAAGTAATGGCTTTAGAAGAATATTTTCTGAGATATCCATGGAATAGTGTGCTATGATATATCTGGAAAGATATGCATATCTATGAGATCATGGTTGTTCTTAGAAATCAGTCCTTATGATAATTTTTTTCTTCTTTTTTTTTTCCAGTTTATAATGTATATTTGATTGTCTGAGCCTCGGTGCGATTATTTGGTTGTCTTACTAACGATTTGACAACTAAAAAAATCACCTATTTGGTTGGAGATTTCTGTGTCTCACCCTCCAGGTTGGGGAATATTCTCTATTATTAATTAACACATCAGATTTGTTTAAAGTCCATAGACAAGAAAATTTTAATAAAAGCTGAAGGCCAGACAAGGTTGATCAGTTTCTTCAAATATTGAAAAGCTGAATGTCTTACAATTCTTTCATTAATCTTAATCCTGCCAGGACATACTGACTGACTATATTCAAATATATATATTGCAAATTCTGGTTAAGTATTTAAAGTTTATCACTCTTTTTTCTTGTGTAATAATACAACTAGTTACAATTGTACAACTATATAAAAAGAAACCAGCTAGAAAGTAATAATTCTCTAAGCAATGTATGATTATTAAAATAAAGAATTATTTAGGCTAGAAGGAACACTACATCTTCGTTTCATCCGCAGTACGTCGATAATTGTGATCTCGCAAATGAGAGCGTTTATTAGTTTTATTACGGTACCGTCGAGGAAGCGGCTCTGCAGTCGCATTGTTTACAACATCGCAACGGTGGAAGTTCAAGCGAACGTCTGTTTGCAGAGGTCTACATATAAGTATGTTTTGTATAGGGATGTACACGTCTACAATAAAATGAGACTGAAGATTAACATTTCATCATGTCTTCCTGTGAATGATTCTCGGACAAGCTGAGCCAGCGAGTGTAGATGGTCGGAAACTTGAATGGTGGGAAACTTCAATGATCTTGTTGGATTACGATGTGGACCGCCTCAAGATGGTCATTTGAATCAATAGCACGTTTGTAAAACTCTCCATTAGTCCTGAATTAATTGGAGGGTTTTAAAAGTAAATGGTCTAGAAATACTCGGGACGAAATGTCTCTTCCTTTCTCTCAATGGAGCAGGCGGGCACCTGAAGCGTACGATATGTCCGCAATATTTAAGACTAAATTCAGACTTAAGTCTGCCCTGTAGCAGTCTTAGGATTTAAGACAGAAATTTAGACTTAAGACTTAAATTTTGTTTCATGATCCCCAAGCTAAGTCTGTTAAACTTAAGTCAAAATCTTTGGACTTAAGTCCAGAATTAGACTTAAGTCCGTTTCATGATCACGGGACCAGGTCCTATGGTGACAGGAGATAAGCAAGCTGACAATGCTGTAAGAAGGCCGTCGGTGGAGCATTTCCGGATGTCATTGATGCCTAAACACTTATTAGATACTACATAAGTTGCTTAATATGGCAGCAGGGACGTTTGGACAAAACAATTAAAATGACACAATGACTAATGGTGGGTGTGAAATGTCAGACTACTTACTTGTAGACATATTGGGCTTTTTATCAGTATTTGTCTACATACATGATTCAACGTTTCCTTATCAGTACAGGGGCCAGTCGACACGGAACTGTACAGATAATGTTCGGAATGGGGACACCGATCTGTCAGTTAGTCACACTAACAAATGACACACACTTGGTCAGTGCACGGTCGGCATTGGTGTCTTCTCGGATAAACCGCTTTATAGGATATCTAATTACCAAGCATATCTGCGGAACAAGAAAATATCTAACAAAATGGTGCCAACAACACGTTTTGATATCATTTTTTTTTTATTGCACCCATGGATGTAGTCCGAATTATTCTGACGTTTTATAGACTTTTTTTTTTTTATATCGGTCTGTCGTCGATTAACGTCAGAACTCCGGTCCTCTATAATATGCGGGAAATATGCGCCCGGACTCGGGTCGCTCTTCAAACTGATATATTAGAAACAAATCGTCACTTTCACACACATGTCGCACATGGATCGAAAGATAACGTTGGGAAATACCTTGTCATGTCATGTGACATTGCGCATGGCCTAATTTCCATTCAAAACATGGGTTGGTATAGAAAACGTTGGAAAATACTGTTCGTAATGATGTTTGAAACATGTTATTGATACCACTTAGTGCATAAAGAATTATAGATCTTTCGATACATGTGCGACTTGTGTGTGAAAGTGACGATTTGTTTCTAAATTATCACTTTGAAGAGCGACCCGTGCGCGGATCGCTTATTTCCCGCATAATATAGAGGGTCGGAGTTCTGACGTTAATCGACGACAGACCGATATATAAAAAAGTCGATAAAACGTCAGAATAATTCCGACTACCATGGATGTAGACTTGTTAAAGACAAAAATGGTGATTCGTTATTCATCGTTGCCTCTGGCGTTATATTCTTCAACCCATATACATGTATATGTGTTGTTTCTTATTGATCTGTATTACAATGATGATTTAAATAAACTTCAATAATATGACCTAAAACACTAATTATACTTCAGATATACTTTTATGTCGGTACTTCCTGTTGTTAAAAAAACAAGCGTGGTTACGTTGTGATGGCTAAGCATGCGATAGTATCGGAGATAAACATACAAAAAAGTAATCAACAGAAGACACATATGGTTTAAGTACATTACATGACGTTTTTACTACCAAAGGTCAGTGCTTACAGCAGACATAAATATTGTTTACAACTAAAAACGCCTCTAGCGGCAAACTAAGAGCACAGGTAGCTCGGTGCTAATGCATGCGCCGGACACATCACTTGTTATCATTTATCTTATTATTTAATCAGCGACTAATACATAATCATATGGTTACATCGGTCATATTAACATAGGTAATAGGCCTAATGCTGTATGTATAGAAACCATAGTATGTATGTACTTGTTTCGTTTACGCCGACATACACTGTATCTCAGTGTCTGTTTTTTTGCTATGTTGTACTCAGTTTAGCTGTATGTCTCCCTCGATATCAGTGTCTAAAACATTTGTCTAATCATTTTATAACGCCAACATTCTTTTTAACACATGATGGTTATGTATCGAGATTTTATTGTACAAGGCAAAACACGATTTCGCCTTATGATTTCTCTTATGTGTAGTATTAATTGCTTCATTACCAAATTGTTCACCCATATCAAACGGCAACATGATTAAAGTCAAATGAATCATGTGTCTGTATTTGATGGATAATGTCCTGGTGGTCAAATGCCCTTCTTCAATCTTAGTTTGACTCAATAACGAAAAAGTAATATTTTTTTAGTTTAACAAAATTTAAATTGAATTATTCAAATAATTCATTTTCTTAACAATAATAAATAAGAAAGCAGAGATTTAAAAAAAAAAATGGAAAGAGATCCAAAACAAATATCATTCTTTTGTCACGGAGTGATGTGGGGAGATATCTTTCGTGTACATGATTATCATCAATTCTTGCTGATATAAGTATGATATAATGACTTTGTGCAAGCAGTATCTGTATCGAACGCACCCTTAAAAAATTCATCAGTTGGAAGAGCGATAACTCTTACATGTTTAATGAAAATGGTTACTATCAAGAACAACATAGGTTCAGGCCTCGATCAGCTATAGCTATAAATCATTATCTGATAAGCTTACCGATAAAGTGGGGATTTTAATTTGTTTTAGAAACATGGTTTTAAAAGTTTTAAAACACTTTGCATGATTTCAAAATGGCCCTTTAAGAAAGATCAGACAAAGACAAAGTACATGTAAACATTTGGAAAGAAATTAATTTTGATGTCCAGAGTTAATAACTTGTAAAGCCGATATGCTTAGAGAAATGTTAATTAAATATTTTTGTTTAAGACAGTTATATCAACAGCATTCAAAAAGAAGTAAAAAAGATGACTTGAGTATGTAGTTTGTTCATCTTATCTGCTGAAGCTCAAAAGAAAAAGAAAAACGCTTCTTGTATTTTGCTGGTAAAGGACCGATTCAGATTATGATAGTTAGTTGTAACCACTAGGTCCAATTTTCCTTACCCATAATTCATTTTTTTTTTTCTGTTAATAAAGTAATAAAAGTGTTCTCAAAAAGAAAAAGAAAAACACAGAAAAGAGACATAACTTTTAAAACGGTTTTGTGAAAAGTGTTGAAGAATTTAATTATTAGAATAAAGTAATTTTCGATAAAATGTCTAATGCTAGGTAGTAAGATCGGTATAGAATACTTTAATTTAGTAATGATCAAACTTTGAACAACACGAGTATTTTCTTTTACAGTGTACAATATGTAACATCTACTTTTGATGTAATTTCCTTCTATAGTGTACAATGGAACACCTACTTTTGATGTAATTTCCTTCTATAGTGTACAATGTAACATCTACTTTAAATACAGAGTTTAAAGATAATGAGGATATTTGAATGTTTCCTGTTGAATGTACCAGGTATATTTTACGAGTATGACAGAATACCGATATTTTTTACTCGTGTCACACACGTAAAATGTATAAATGATTCAACAGGAAAACCATTAAATGTTCAATTTATCAATTATTTAAGAATACCTAAGGACGAAAACAAAAGGGTGGTCGGGTGGCGCAGTGACTAGCGCCCGTGCCTTTTCACATCCGATCGGGGAATCAAACCCCGCCCACCTTGGTAAAAGAAAATTGTCCATCATTATTGAGATGGGTTGTAACGGTATTTCGTTATTACGGCGTCCAATTAAGGTTTATTTTATAGGTATCTATAGGGATTCTTATTCTGTTAACCTGTCGTTCACAAAATAGCTATTATAAATAATTACAATGACAAATAATTAAATCATAAATTAATAATTTATTAAATGAAAAGACATGAATTAATAGCCACCAGAACGTTTCTTGGAAGATGAAAATGAAGGTCTAGATATTCCCTTTGGGTACGCCATTCCTTGTCCCCAGGATCCCGTGTTAAACATGCGGCCCCTTCCGATCCCCTTACTGTAACTTCTGCCCATGCCGCGAGAGTTAGAGAGTCCCTTTCCTCTCCATCCTCCCATACCGCCCTTGCTCCGTCCGCGTTTTGGGTAGCTAAGAGATGGTCGATAGAACCCTTTGCTCATTCCCATACCTCTGTTTTGGAATTTAGGATATCCTCTTTGTCTTCCGAAACCCAGCATCCCCGTGCTGACTCGTGCCGATTGTCCAATGGATGGGAAGGAACCACGGCTTTTTTTCGACATACCAAAACCTTTTGGATAACTAGCACTGGAGGATATTTCTGACATTCCGAAACCTTTTGGATAACTGGCACTCGAGGATATTCTACGAGATTTTCCTTTGCCAAACCTACTTGAAATCCCGATTCCTCTTGCTCCAAAATTTTGCAAGCCCATATCTCCTCTAGCATTTGACAGGCCAACACTTCTATCTAACAAAAGTCCCTGGTCACTACCGAACGACTGGACTCCTCCGATGTCGGGTTCGAATCCACCAGACACAAAATTACCACCACTGCCGCCAACAAATTGATCCTGGGCACCTCCTCCAATGAACTGATCCTGCCCACCAACAATGAACTGGTCGTTCATTCCTCCGTCGAAGAATTGGTCTTGCACTCCTGCATCGAAGAACTGGTCCGAATTTAGTCCTCCAAAGCGTTCTCCGAATCCTTGGTCACCAAGGCCGCGGTCACGGAATTCGGGCTCCATTGCAATACCTCTTGCTTGGGACTGACTGAAGTAATTATCGCAGCCTAATTCTCCCGCCATGCCTGGTTCACATGGAAGTATGTGAAGACCAAGCACTACAGACAGCGAACAAGCCACGACAACCAAAGGAAACAGGGCCTGAGAAGGAAATAGGGAAGATAGTATATAGTACCATCACAAAACATCAGGTTAAAATTTGTTTAGTGATTCTAAGGAAGTAGTTATTTAATACTTCTCAATAATGTATCTACTAGACTATGACACTCAGTCTACAAATACTTTAAGCACCTTAAAAAAATAATCTTTTCAAAACGTTTTCATTAATATAGCTGTACATTTTAAATGTTCAGAATACTGTATAAGTTCAATCGTTCTCGGAATATGGATCTTTTAGTTTACGTCACTCTCACAGTATTTGGGACTTCCCGCTCACTTTCAAATAGTGGNCCCCCCACCCCCTCAACAACAAAAGAATATTCAAGTGTCAACAAAACCCTAAATCGAACTGAAAGTTTATAAAACAAGGGCAAAATCTTATCAAAAGAAAGATTCACATGGAGGCACTTGAAAAGTACGTGAAAAATAAGACCAGGTGTTCCGGAATGATAAGCGATGTACGTAACGGTAAAAATACATTTTCGTGGTGTTTATACTCTAATGGTTGGTACATTCACCCCGTGTATATAATACATATTCCAGTAGTATAAATATAATCCAATAGTGTACTTGTTTGAGTGATGTACATAAAATGATGTTAAAATTATGATTATTCTAATAATGTACGTATTCTACGTTAAAAGTCGCACATATGTTTAATTTGAATTGAGTTATATGTATTTATTACAATATGTAAATAGCGTTGAGATACTGGTAAATACTGCTTTGTTGACAGAGAAATCTTTCAAATTCTATCTATAAAATGTCTATAGTGAATGTCTCTCAAAGTATGATATCCTTCTGCTCAGGTCGATTAAATCCATGAAAGACTTCATCTAAAATGTTTGATGTTAGGACAGAAATTGCTTTCAGGATATTCAGTTTTACGGAAAGTTCATTAAACAAGTACAGGTATCTTCAAAGATTGATTGAGCTTTAATGTAATCATCCCGCACACAGAAATGCCACTTATGATATCCATAGTTATAACCGTGTTAAGTATTAGGCGTAAGGTTTATCACAATGTGATTACAGAAATTGTTTTGTAACAGATCACTTCGTTATTTTTATTCTCATATCATTACAGAAATCGTTTTGTCACATACTATGTATTTATTTGAAATCATATATCACTACAAAAAATGTTTTGTAATATATCAATTCGCCAATATATTCTAAAATTGTTGCAGAAGTTATTTTGAAATATACATTACCTTTAGGCTGTGTTTTTAAAATAAGTACAGGAAATGTTTCGTAATATGTTATGCTTCCGTTATAATTACCGTGATAATACAGAAATTAGTAATCATAATCCTACAATTACTGTAATAAATTATAAAAGAGATGCACACTTACCATGTTGTATGTTTGTGAGAGTTCTTATCCTACAGCTAACAGATCTCTGTCAGAAGCAGGTGAGACTCTACCTTATATAGGGACGTAGTGGTCAGTATGTTCTGTGGTCAGTAATGCATCATGGTTTAGTCACCTCCCTCAGTAGTTCCGGACAGGAAGCTCTAGCAAGCATGACTGGACGATAAAATTATCAATAAATACAATAAAACAATACCAATACAACAGAAGCCAAACAATGACGAATCACCTTGTTATACCTGTGTTTAATTACCTGTATATGTTCACCTGGTTTGTGAGTGCCAGGTGTACCATATAGGTACATGTGTACACCAGTGTGTTTATCTTTGTTTTATATGTGTTGTTTAGAACTTGTTATTGTTGTGTATACATGGGAATACTCTATACATTTATGCGACATTGCTAAGATAATGGTCGGCGTAAAACCACAGGACAGTCCACTACAAAGTGACCGAAAATTAAGTGTTATGGGACATTAAAGATTTTTATACTTACTTTTTAGTCTTCAGCTTCTGTAGTTACTGTCATTATTATGTGGTCAAATCTCGATAAATGTTCATGATTTATTGTGAATTTAATGTTAAGTTTTAATACTGTCTTATAAGAAAAATGAAGAGCACAGTTCACAGTAATGGTTTGAGCAAGAACTTCTATGATGATAACTTCCGGTGTTTTATCGTATATTTTTAAGAAAGCGTAAAATACCATATCTGGGCCCACTTGTATAAAACATCTCAACACTTAAGATTTCCTCAAGTCTAAGATTTCCCATAGACAATACATTGCTTGAGATTTTCCTTAACTTTGAGATGTTTTATACAAGTGGGCCCAGTGAAGTAGTGGCAAACATGCTGAAGGTGATTGTCGGCATAACCAGATGTTATGTTGATGACAATATCACCTGTTAGGTAAGATCAGGTAAATGCATTCAGGTTTCTATTTTGATTTTACAAAATTTGGTTCACTTCATTTGAAATTTTCTGTACGTTTCCGTTTTGGCTTTATTTTCTAAAAGATGATGAACATGTTCAAGAGTAAAATCCACTTTTTGGCATTTTGTATCTCGTAAACTTAATAAAATCAATCTTTTTCGTTTAAGAAATTGCAGCAGATGTCTTATATATAACCCCCTTCACGGCTAATATTATCTAAAGACTATGTTGATTTTTTTATGATTTTTTTACCTTAATATGACATTTATCTTATTATGGTTACACACGACATAGTATCCTTTCACTGAGACGTTATAAGTTATAATAAAATCTATATTTACAATTATAACTTTATAATCATTGTAAGATTTTTTTTTATCTTTTATCAAATATTTCAAATGAAATGACTCGTTGTGCGTCAAATATCTTTTTGAATTTGATGTCGTCAAAATCCAAAACTTAATGAACTTTTAATAACTTCTTTGTGTTGACAAAGTTGTTTTTTATTATTTGTATTAATGTTTTAGAATCCGTTATCCGTCACACCGTCTTTTTTTGCTGATCTAGTCCGAGTGTCAATAGCCACTCCGATTAGTGTACTTCACATGTCAAACATTCACCAAACGTACTGTACATGTACTTTAACCAAATGTATTATCCATTTATGTGTTACAGGGATTATTGAACATGGCTTGAATATGTATTTGATCCAGCTTAGGTCATTGACGTATTAAAATACAATGAACTATGGTTTCAGAAAGGGGTTTTCTGCTCTCATTGAAGCCATTATTGAAAAAATCAAACCGCAAAGACTAAAACTTCTAAGGAATCATGAAGTACCACGCCGATAATGTAGAAATCTTAGAAACAATAGAGTGTGTAACGTTCTTTTTCGATGTTATGGTAGTTGCTAGGACTTGATGATTACGTCTATGTGGAAGCCATTGTGAAGTTTAGTTTTATGGACATGTACAACTATCCATATTCTTTTCAAATTTTACTTTCTGTAGGGGCTACATGGTTTTTGTTCAACATTTTAACGACGAAATTACGAGAGTCATCATTTGACCTGATTATAAGCCTTGGCGTTTGGTGTGTTATGTAATTAATCACATGTCCAGTGAAATGTAACTAGGAAACCACCTAGATCATTTTCAAGATTAGACGGGTTTCATAAAGACATGAAACAGAACGCGTTAGCTGTTGCCGAATTTATAATGTTGCGTTCGATATTTTGTTGAAGTGACTGATATCTTTCTTTGGTTTTTCTCTGTTTGCTGTCTTGTCGTATCGACATTTTGGTTATATTACTTGTTACCCCCGATATCTACATCAGATGATAGTAATTGTGTTTTAAGATATGCTGGTTGATGAAGACTGGGGAAGTTATATTATCACCAAAATGATCGCGTTAGGAAATATTCCTTTTTCTATATACAGCTCGATGACGCAGAAGACGGTTACGCTTTTGGAACACCTTATTTTTTAATCCTTTGACCATTTTAAATGTCTCTATGCTAATATCTCCGTTGTTCACTGTGTACACTAGATTTATCAAATGTCTCTATGCTAATATCTCCGTTGTTCATTGTGCACAATAGATTTATCAAATGTCTCTATGCTAATATTCCCGTTGTTCATTGTGTACACTATATTTCCGTTGCTCATTGTGTAGACTAGATTTATCAAAATTTAAGTTTGAATAACGGTTTCGTTTACACATTTTTTCTGTGAAATATCATATTCTTTAATAGATTGATTTGATCCAGATTATGTTATTGACTTCATACTTACAATGTGGTATGGTTAAAGAAAGGTTTTCTGTAAAAAAATGTAGCCATTCTTGAAGAAACAAAAAAAAGCAATGTAACTTAAACTTGTAAGGATTCATTTTGTGTAATTGTGGTCACATACATTAACAGTTTATTTACTTTTTACACGTAAGAAACAGGAAGGGTTTTGCTGATTCGGACTATGGCTTTTCCTATTCTACAAAATGTATATCCTTTCGCGGGAGTAGTTTCTTCTCCTTTCAATTGCCAAAATAAGCTCGCAAATAATAGATGAGTGTTGTCATTTTTCCGTGGGCAGTTTGAAAAAAACTTTTTTTTTGTCTAATCATTTTCGGCCAAACGTAGTTTTCTCACCGAACAAGATAATTCCATCTTTCTGAATTAAACATCTGAATTGGAGTTTTCAATTTCTACATGTCGACAATTTCTTCATCGCGACATCGTCTTTATCACGATTCCATAACGTAAATTGCGTCTAATGCCGAAGTCATGCACGTGTGATACTATTTTAGTTATAATATATATATATATACATAGGAATCAGAGAATGTACTAGTAAAGACAATATTTGTTCTATACGAGTACTCTACCTTTTTCTTGCACCTTGACATATGAATGCGATACTTTGTGTTTTGTGTGTGAACTTGTTGGTTATACACTGTACAGATAAATTGAGTTTGTTCATATCGACTTTATGTATTTGTATTTTGTATACTTCTCCACATCTGTATTTCAAAGACGAAACGATACACGATAACAAATCCTTCATGTTTTCCCAAATATTATGGTAATAGAGCATTGAAATTTATTTGACACAACCTGAATTATTAAATCGTAAAGTTGTCATCGACATTAACTGAATCATTATCAGTGTGCCCTCTCGTCCCGTTTTAAAAACTGGCATATTTTTTACACTTTGGGATTTTCATTGTCGATCACGTGGGTATTCAGGGAGATGTGGTGGGATGTCAGACTAATCGATCCGGGGTCCCGATTATCTTTTTGTTTCCTTTTGTTAGTGTATTTCCTCAAAGTGTCGTTTTCTTAATATATCTGTTTCAGGCGGGTCGTCCCGCATGCAAATAGATAAGAAATAAATAACAACTTCGTGCATTTGTAATTAAATGTAATAGTGTAAATTTGGAAAAACGTAGGCCGGTTCGAACTAGATATATTTTCACTTGAAAGATTAGTATGTCTGATGAAGCTAGTAGAATACAAATTGCACCAGCCATCGGAACTGTCATTAGATGTAACCGTTATACCCTTTGTATTAGATCTATCTATCTGAAGAACATGCTTTAAGATAATATGGTAATAGTGAAGCGATTAGCAAAGGGTGATATGTAGGAATTATGGTACAGAAATGTACAGCTGTTCATTGTTCTAATGATCTAGTTCTATTTATCTTAAAATATTCTAAAATGCTGATTAGCATTTCCCTTCGCTCAAACAAATGAAAATGATCTGTCTGTTATCAGGACTGTTTCATTATTGTTATCGCTATCCACAGCGCAAATTGTATCGTCTTACCGTGTTATCACGTCACACTATTTATGTACCAGGTTTCATCAATAAATGTATGTCAATCAGAAATTATGAGCATTTACAGGAAAACAATTTAATTATGTTCTTTTCTCAAATCACATCAATATACATTAACGCGTTCTAATTGTTGCGGGGGCTGTAACAGAGCTCCCAAGAAAACTACCCCGCAGTCGTAAATGATGGTAAATGAAGTCATTGTACAAAACGGGATCATTCACCAACACACCAATCAAAATCGGTCAATATCTAACTTTCGACAAATGAGAGGCCACAGCAGCCATCTTGGATTGCGCAATGACCAAAGCAAAGGTGTCTTCTACATCTAGACATGCCCACAAATCAATACTCATGGCGACTTTCCATTTCATCTTACTTGTGGTTTCTGAGAATCCACTCGGGGGAAAGAAGAAAAAGAAATTATGAGGTTAAAATACTTTGTCGATTATACCTTAAGAAAATAATAATCATTTAATAGCCTACAATTGAATCTGAAAATTAGAACAAAACATTAAAAACGATAGTGTCGAAGTGGTCTAACTACATATTGACTTTATTTTAAGACATATTTGAGGAATGGTATTGGCATGACATCGTTTCATTCTCTCAGCTAGGACTGACCGTTAAAGGCAGAAATTGCAATTTCTAACGTTGTAACAGCATTATGAAGTTTTAAAATTGTATCATTTCTTTATTTATCGCAAAACATTAATAGAAAAATTATGATTTAAAATTCGTTACTTATTACGAAATATCCATATCGCATAAATTCTGTTTGTTTTGTTTTTATTTAACGTCCCTTAAACAACTACGATCATTAAAGAACATGCTAGGTTTCGATGGTGGAAAACAGGAGTGCCCTGAGAAAAATATTGACCTGCGGTCAGTACTTGGCGAAAGCCCCACAAAGGCTTCGAGCCCTCGACCTAGTAGTTGAGGGTTAGTGATCGTAGACGGTCAGACACCTTAACCAGTTGGCCACCGGGAACAGATAAGCCCGAATAGTGTTGTATATAGGCTGATTTGAAAAGTGCATTAAATGAATTAACTAAGGTACTTAACACTTGTTAGGTATGAATTACACCTCAGGACAGTGGTCTCGGCCGCATTAATTACAATACATCACATCTCAATACATTCCAACTAGGAACTTAGGAGAGAAAAGTATGGCTGACCTTAGTATTGCTGGTAGCTTAAAAATACAAAACGTATCCTCGCTCTAGGATTACAACCAATTGTTTTCTCAGAATCCATAGATTTGAAGTTTTCTAATATGGCGAGAAAGACTTCCCATCCCTCTGATATCGTAAGTATGGTACTTTTCATGGGAAAAAAAATACTGTTGAAACTAAAAACGAATTTCTTTTACAACAGAAAACGTCGATTCCAAATCTTTTCCAAACTTCGATGTTGTATACAAATACAGTTACACAATAAAAATGTGAAAACAACCTTTATAGTCATATTTTATAACTTCTAAACCATATTTATTTTTTGGTTTCATTATAACATGAAGTTAAATAAAACAAATCGGTACAAAGTAATTGAAGTCATATAACTTAGTGTACCTTGCACATCATTGCTACTTTTTTTTTGACAAACGTAATAACGAAATGAATAAAATATTTAAACAATCAACAATGATGGAAACAGAGGACCATAATTAGTGAAGTCTTATTTTTCATATTTAAACATATAATCCAAACAGCACATACAAGTTTCACTTATTTAAGGATGTACCATTGTACAGAAAAGGAATGATTTCACATGTATTTTTTTCTAATTGACAACTGAGATTAAACTTGGGTCTAAGTACTTGGTACGGATGCTATGTAACCGGTCCCTCACCTTCACATGGAATTTGTCGCATCAGTACGTGATTGATGCAGTAATTATGTATCTACGCATGCGTACTGTCAAATGTCCAGTAGTTATGGCCGTTACGGTCCATGTTTCGTCATTAGTGACAGACACATTGATTGCGCTTGCGACATCTTTTAATACTGGGAACACATAAATTATACATTTCTCGGCGGATTGTTTTGCTTACATTTAGTAATGTGACTTGTACGAGGATTTTGTTGTATTCCCCTGAAATAACAATATTAGAAAAGTGTGTCGCAATATTTTATTTACTGATGTGCTACAAGACTTTTTCTGCCTTTATCTGTTGTCGCTTTGTTTATCAGTGTGTGTCGTGGAGGTCACTGTATACCACATTTCACAATCCCATGCTGTACCTGTGTTGACACTGTCTGGTAGGGAGCGTGTATTTGTATGAACATTTGATTATTGCCATAACCAACCGTATATGTAACTATTTTTGCCTCGTAATATATATTTGTTCTTTGCGTGTAGTGTTTACCCTGCTATCATCTTATAATTTGTAATACCCCCGCTTAAATATCGACATATCCAGACATAACTGCTGTATGTTTATGTTCGTTTATCTATAATTGATGAGTTAATTGGTAGGTAATATAGAGTATCTTACATTGATGTAAGAGACAGTTATATCTAGCAGAATTCGCACAAGGTCAGTAAGCTAATACTGTACCGTATTAGCTTCAATTGGAAGCCTATTTGTACCTACAAAAATAGCTTCGTATCCCCTTAGACAATAAGCCCCTCCCCCCTTATTATTGTAACTGAACGGACAGTTTGTTCACTCGATCCTGAATCAATTATCTCCTTGTCCCTTTAACTTTGTCAATAGAGTATTAATTAGAGAAAAATATGATGTAAGACTGTTAATAAAACCTAAATAAAATTAAAAATAAAAACGAATAAAAACAACATTGATAAAACTATTATGGATTAAATTTACACCAATTTTATTTCATTTGAAAGCGTTGATAAAATATTGCAGCTTGTCTATGAATGGTCACCATTTTTGATTGTGTTCAAACCAGAAAGTATAATAGAAAGTCGGAGTTATTATTTTGGTTACATTAACTTTCTTTATACACACATATTTCAAATCTATTATATTTCCTGTCAGGAACCCTAAATCAATGGCTCTTGTTTTCAAATAGTCACAGTAAGAATAAAAGAACAATCCCAATTTCCTTTCGATTATAGTTTAAGACACATGTTGGCCACCATGTAAGACAATTTAGAAGAAATTATCGCATAAAGCAGTGTTAACGGTGGGTAGATATAGGGCTACACACGTTTAAAGCTAGAGAAAACCGTACGACATACCAAGTAGTGATTTGCCCAGATTTAATGTACCAGATCCATTAACTTTTCTATAAATATTTGTTTATAACGAATGATATTACTGCAACGTTAGCAGAAAGGAAGAGAACAGTATGGTTTTCATGCACTTTAAACGCTACTTATATACAATAAAGAGATTAATTATATTTGTATATTTTAATTCACGTTACATGTTAGTAACGTGAGGAGATCAATTATCAATAACATTTGTTGATGCATGTTACACGTTTGTCATAAAGAAGAGATCAATTGTATTTGTGGCCCCAACCACATCCCTACACTCATATATGACACGTTCTTTCACACGATGTCAAGTGCTTTGTTCGCTTCCAACGACCATTGAAAATAAAGCATATAAGCTTCAATAAACCCAAAAAGAAGAAACAATCTGTAGTCGATGTTATACTCATTTGCTTTTTCTTATCAAGCAAATACTCCGTTTTAATTGAGAGTTGAGTTATATATACGTTTGAATTATTATAAACCAACTGTAGAGGTGACGATGGTACATATACTGCTTGTTAAACAGCTAACGCCAGCATAACATTACAGTCGTATTATTTTATTTTATTTGTATTGTATTCTTATGTTTTATTCTTCTCAGTTGCAGAACAAGTTTGTTATATGAATCATTCAGGAGAATTGCAACTTTTGCAAATATATCTAATTGTAATCAAATATTACTGCACATCTAACAATGAAAACGAAACCATTTAGTACTTAAAATATGCAGGTTTATCACATAACTGACCCATTTTACCATGCTATAACAATATGCTAAGAAACACCTGTAATAAAACCTAAAGGTGCTACGATTGGTCAAATCCATGGGAACATCTTCTTACCACACTACAGGTACTATTTTTATTTAACTGAATTTTGTTCAGCTTTATGTTAATGGTTTTGCTATTAGATGGATCTGGAACTATCTTGAACTGCGCGGGACGGCAATACTATGATCGGAGTACTTTGGTTTTAACCTATATAGAGTCAGCCGATAACGTATAATATAAGAATGCTATGTGATAAATAGGATCTTACATGAGTGTCCATGTCATATTGAATTTATGGAACTCTGTAAATAAACTCAGTATGACATGGACACGGATGTCAGATCTCTATGTATCATATTCATTGTGGAACGAAGGTTATTTTTCATTACTTCTTATTGTATTAAAACGATCGATCTAAGATGAAATATTCAGTGTAATTTAATTTATGCTGAATACGTAGTTCGTATGCTGTTTGAAACCAATATATATGGTATGATAAATTAGATATAATAAAATGCAGTAAAAATCGTGTTCGCTATTCAACAGATCCACTACTTCGGGTTGACTAAAACATCTTCCATTTGACACATACAGTATCATACAACTTGTATTCTATGAACTTAGTTGAAATAACTGCTTTTTATGTTACCACTTGATCATCACTTGAACATTTTCAACACTAAAGCAGAAGTGATCCCTGTCATTGATGCAGATATATGTTTTAATAAGATGATTGATATTAAAAACAAGACGAATTATATTTTGAACAATACAACATGTTTTATTAATACAAATAAATACAAATTATATAAAAACAAATAACACACAATATGATTGTACTAGTATGGGAACTGCCTTGTAGTATATGTTGGTCATATTGTTTTTTTTAAATAACCGAAAATATCAGTCTCCCGAAAAAAAACGGTATCGTTCATAAAAGTATTCAGATTTTTATAAAAAATAGCTTTGACGTTCGTAGAGACTGAAACTTGCGGTGAAGATGATGATGTAGAGGGTTTATTTGAAAATTGTGAAAGATGAGAGATTTTTTAAAGAATCATAAGCTTATACTGGTTTTATATGACTACTTGCACCACATTCGCGGCAATAAAGTGAAGGCAATGGTATTAATAAATATGTATTACACATTATTAACGATTCATATCAAAATTGCAAGGTAGACGTCGTAGTTTCTTTAACAACAGAGCACACGCATACGTCACTCCAAAGTTGGATCCAGAGGAAAGCCACAGATGATTGTTTTGGGATTGTTCTTAAACAAACCGGGATGACCTGGCCGCGGAGTGTCAGCCGATGGGCAGTACTCACCTACAGTAAACCTGAAACAGAAAGACATTTTTAAATGGCGTGTTCAGTTACACAGAAGTATCAATTCTAGGGAACAGTAATAGGCATGTCAATTTCTACAGTATATTACTTTACACTCAGAACTGGTTGTCCATTATGCAATGACTCAAAACACATATTTTTTATGCAATAAAAGATGACATTCGCACTAATGAATGTTTATACAAAAGATACGGGATAGGTTTTTGTATGTCGACTCATCCAACGCCTGTTAAGCACATGCTTTGATTGAACGATAAAAACTGTTACGCTAAATACACACGATTTCCTGTTGCAATGCAATGGGAAACAAAAGAAACAGGGGACATTATTTACTGTAAATTAACCCAGAGGGCGCTGCAGATCACCTTTTATATATATGCAAATATAGCAAACTATTTTTGGAATTAACAAATATATGATCGCTTTGTTTTTCGTAGAGTCGTTATAAAAAAACGCGCAATCTTTCTTTGTGTATTTTGTATCTTGGGCTATCAAGATTAATATCTTTAACAATATTTTCAATCGATATAATATATAACATTGTATGTAAGTAACGCTGGACCTACCTAGTAACTTCAGTGTCCTGAATTGTGACCCTATATCACTTGACATAAGACTTCGAGACGATAGACCATGTGACGATAGACCATGTGACGAAGGACGACCATGTGACGACAGACCATGTGACAACAGACCATGTGATGATAGACCATGTGACGATAGACCATGCGATAGACCATGTGACGACAGACCACGTGACGATAGACCATGTGACGACAGACCGTTTGGCACTAGACCACGGGACAGAACGGCACGAGAGGGCGTTCTCGTGATAATAATGGGATTGTTGGCCCGGAGTGTGTAAACCCTCACATCCGATGAGTCTGGGCGGTCTCGTCTGTCTGGCATGTCAGGCCTGTCCGGCCTGTCCGGAGTATCAATTAAGCTGGACACTGCAAATATAGAAAATAAAACATTAACACCTTTATAAATAAATTTAGAACAGTTCATTCTTCGAAAGGCCTTACACAATTTATCACACGAATACGACAACTTTAATGTTTTAGTGTTTGGTTGCCATGATGCATTTTTACTTTCATTTCATCATTTTTATATATTGTTCTTGATTATTGACGTTTTTTGGGAGAATACTCAACGAAAAATCAACATAATTCCACGACTAATGCTACAGAATTCAACAAATATTTCAAAATAAATGTATCCACTATTATTTACGTTAAACTTGAATGTTCTTTTTTTTCTTAGTTTGAAATAAAATGATAAAATATCGACGAAGCGTCATTTTCTTTGTACCCTGCTTTTACTCATTTTTGACGATATATTTATTTTCGCGTAAGCTGGTAGACGATTGCAAATATACGCTTTTGTTAATATCTACTCAGTAAATATAATAGCTGTTGTTCCTTTCCGGGAAAATATCCTTTCGATTATGTCGCCTTAAGAAATAAGTGTTTACGAAATTACTTGATAGATAGTTCATTATTTTAAGTCGTCAGATACATAATTTAACTTATTCTTTTTGGAAGATATTATCATATTCTTATTTCTTATTTTATTTTTGTACTTTAAAATCATCATTTAAGATGTGTATGTTTTGTAAAGAAATTATTTGTAACATTCAATAAATAATCGCAAAAAATAAATGTGATAACAGGGAGGTGCAATAAATCACGGAAAAAACATTACTTAAGGAGCATCATTTTATTCCAATACACCATCAGTGTTACAATTGAATTTTAAAACAGATCGCCACGCAACCGTTGATAAATATTATTGAGATATTATGGTCGTGTTTGCATTGGGTGTAAAAAGAAGTAAACACATTAAGCATTAGCTTAATATGTATACCGTCATAAGTTTGACATCGGCAAGTTTTGATTCAAATTTTACGGCAGTAAAGCATGTCAGTTACTGTACCTGATATAGGTAAACATGTAAATGAATATTTCCCCCAAATATTTATGAGATAGCAGTATTGGCAGGCAATTGTCGAACAATATAATTTTATGAACACAATTTTTTCTGATAAACCATATTCTGTTTCCTGGGACTGAAATGTAATACAAACTGTATCTATGTTACTCACATAACAACTTCTGCAGATCGAAACCCGAGGATATGCTGCGATGTAATTGGCCAAGAGCTGATGACGTCAAAACTAGGACGACGATACACAACAATAAACTCTGGGCTGACATGGCGCCTAGGTAACGTCTGTTCTGCAGAAAATGACATAAAGCATATATCAAATGACCAGTATTGACCGCTTGGGCCGTAGCGGTGACCGGTGTATATACAGTACGTAGTATACAGTGTGTGACTAATACTCATTAATCTGTTTATAGTTAATGCACTAAACTTATATATAGACTGTGTTATTATCAAATGTATAGATGGTCTGTTGTACCGGTCAGTATTTTATTATAATGTTTACGATGTATTTTTATAACTGTGTGACTGTGTTTTCTCATACTTCTGTATGTATCGACCTTGATGTTTATTACCTCGTGCATGGTACATATCACTTTATGGGTCATAACAATTGATATTTTTTACATTTATCATAAAGCTTAGCATATATAGTTGTGTGTTTTTTTTTATAGTATTCTGTTTCTCATACCCCTGTATAGTTTTATTGCATTACAGTGTATATGGCGCATGATTATATAATCTTCTAAATAAAATATTACTATTTTATCTGTAATATAAAGACGATTTTTTTTCTTAGAAAAGGGTTATCATCATTGAATTTATTTACCAGTTCCATAATTGATTAATCGGATCGGTCATTTCTGCGTCGGTGAACTCGGTAGGACTAATACATGTTTACATTGTGTTAAAACGTGGTCAAAGTATCTGTTACCATTAAATATTTTCACATTATCCAGTTAAACATAGAAGTCTGGTTATGTTTCCAGAACAACTAAAATTATGTATTACAACAGCAGCAATTCGATTGCATCCACTGTATCATTTGCATATCAACTAAATGAACACAAAATTGAAGGTTTCCGATTGTATACCTTTTATGTTTCGATGGTGCATTTAAAAATGATTTTTACTCTGGCTTTGTACTTAAAATATTGGAAAGTTATGCTTCATCAACGAATGCTATATGGTATCCAGTAGGTACTGTTAACGTCGAAATTCTCGCGTGTGGATCTGTTCGTTCTATAAATCTTAAAAACTGATTGCGGTGTAGAAACCTTGGCGTTGACAATGGTTCTGAAATATATCTGCTGTGAAATCACAGATTTTTGAAGGGGTTTCAATTTCGCTGATTTCGTTGGAAATCTTCATCCACGAATTCAAAGGTCGAAACAGTAATTACATGTTATATATAAAGCTATTCTTCGTTCTAGTTGGTAACCGTAATCCACGAATCCTTGTACCAACGGAACTGTGTTTTGTCCGGAAACCACAAAATGTTGGCTCTACGAAAATATCTGTTTACACAGTATAGCGCGATTATTTCCACACACCGTATAGTTAAAATTTCAAAGTGCGGAGTATACCGTCAGTGCTTCTGTCTATATTGTCGATGTCTGTTCTGATTCAGTTGAAGCGAATGCAAAATTGGCCAAAATAGATTTGCAGTTGAACTCGCGATGGCAACGTTATTTAATACATTTTGATTGCAATCCATGCAAAAATTATGCAATGCAATCACCAGGTTTTGAAAAGATTAAGACTGACAATGGCGACCAATTCATAGAAGATAAACTGTTTATTGGTGAACCACATCAAGACATCCTGCAATCAATAATTATGACACACTATTCATACAGCTATCCATATATGTTTATCAGCCTCTGTTTTATTTATGTTCACTTAGCAACGCTTTGTACTTGACTACAAATTCATGTATTTCCTACGTTAAACATGAATGTTGTTGATATCTACTAACTTCATTATTTATCGCAATTAAGCCCAAAATTCAAATAGTTATCAAGCTAAAACACTTATTTGCCAAACCAAAAAGCAATTTCTCGAAACTAAATTGTTTCCGTTTTATCATTGATGTTATGATGGACAGATAATGAGCAAACTCTGACTGCGTATAGATATTTGTTTCAAATATGGCGCCGTTCACGCTTCAATGAAATACGATCCGATGACAATCGTTGCTTATTTCCTTCAATATCTAGATCCATGTAACATCTTCGGGATCGCTTATTTCTTATCATATGACGAAGGATACCGGTGAATCCTTTGACGGTATAGTAAACAATGGTGGCTTCTTTCTGGAGTATTCAACCGTGTCACTACCAGACAGTGTGTCAATGCGCGTACGATCGTTATAAGACTATAAAAAGAATAAAAACAGTGTTGTTCACAGTATGTTTTCCCTATTTACTGATATATCAATGTAGATTCACTTAAACTGTATTATTCTAGCATTTGTAGCAATACGCTTCGACGTTTTTTCTTCGTATGTTGAATAAAAAAAAAATATCCTTCATTTTGACCGCGTATACGGTAGTAAGAGCCAAGTTGGCAACGGCCATATTCTTTATGGGGCGCTAATGCGCATCGTAGAATATGATCGTTGCCAACTGCATTCATACGCCGTTAAAATGAAGGTCAGTCCTTATAAGAACGACAAAGATAAAAAGATGCATCAACAGAAAACAAAAGATTAGTTTTTAAACAAGTATACTGCACACATGAATTTATTAATAATTTTGACATGTAAGTTGATTAGCTAATAGCATGATAAATAGGTAGTAATCTTATGTGTTATCTGACGTATCAAATGTCATATGTTCATTGCGCGTGATACATTGTAATCGAGTGCAACCTTGAACATCTATGAACACATATGTGTAGTACTGCTATTATTACATACTTTGAGTCGTTATTTTTATGCATATAATATATTTTGCAAAAACTCTACAAATCAATTCTCCATATCAATGGTAAATTTGCGTCCTGAACACCTGACCATAAAAACCACGGAATAATGACGTCACGTCACCATAGAATGAACAGGTATGGTTATAAGATACCGATCTTGTTTCAATTAACGATTTGATTAGTTGAGTCGCAGCCAAAAAGTAGTTCTGCTTACTGAGGTAATACAACATTGTGTAATATCCCCTTTTAAATGCATGACATTGCAATGCATGTCCTGTATACTGTCTGTGTCACTATATATGTTTAACAGGCACATAAATCGTGTGATGTTATTTTGTTTGTTTTTTTGCATTTTATAAACTCAAATTGGCATAAACTAAATATTTTGCCTAAAGACTAAAAACAAATTGCGATAATTCTTGTTTAGACAAAACAAATGGTGAACCGGTATTCATGCAAATTTAAGAACATAATAATCTAAATGCGTGAACTGCATACCGGCAGGTAGTATAGAATGTTAACATTATTGATAAAAACATCTATTATTCCACTTACCTGAGAAGTTGGTCTAATCGATACTGACCGAGGTATGAACTGCTAGCATTATATATACAGGCGTATCCGGTCACACGGTGTTTTAATGTCCGTGATTATTGGACGCCTTCGCACCCAATGATGAAAGAAAACACCTTGTAGGAGGGCGACGGGAGTTAACGTTGTGGCATGTTAATATCCAATTATGTAAACCTTTGTCCATCTCTTGGCGCCAATGACACCAATAGCTCAAGTCATAAAACACCTGTAAAGCTGTGGTCACTGTCGTGTACAATGTATACTACAGGTATAATTCTTCCAAAAGCGGACTTTTTCTATGGTAAAAGCATAATATATATTTGCATTTAGCGATGTTTGATATATTCAAATGACAGTCATACTCTTGATTTACAGAATGTGCCAATCAAAATATAATAATATTTACACAGCGATCCTACATCAAAACAATGCAAGGAACAGAGCGGCAATCACAACTAAAGCATTGACATGTTCAAAACAAAAAGCAAATAAAAACAAAAACGAAAAACGGAGACACGTTTATAGCGCCCGGCATCATTAAATTTCACGCAATATTGCAAGGTAAAACAATATTTAGCGCATTAGGGTACTTTAACTTATGGAATTTATTTTACAAGTGCATTATCCCAATAAAGTAAAATACTGAATTGGTAGGTTATCGCCATTGTTCGGCGGCAAAAGGGTAAACAGATCTTTTCTTTTATCTGTTTTGTTCATGGTAATGAAAATCGCTAGGTGTTTTATCTCGCGCTGTTCTTGGTGAATATAGCGAAATGGAGTCCCCCGCGGAAATTATCAGCTATACAGTAGACAAATATAAGGTATAGCTTCTTCGGTTTTACATATCCCTTCATACGCATTTGATGTAGTTTTACGCTATAGAAATACGAAGTATGCAAGCATGTACTAGAACATTTCATTGCGCCATATGTCCATTTTGTCGAATTAAAACTCTGCAGACATATTCATACACATTATCGCATTCTTTATTTTAAATAGTTGTTTGAAAACTCAACGGACATATTCATACACATTATTGCATTCTACATTGTAAGTTAAATAGTTGTTTCAAATTCAACAGCCATATTCATACACATTTCTGCATTCTATGTTAAATAGTTGTTTGAAAATTCAACAGACATATTCATACAAATTATTGCATTTTATGTTAAATAGTTGTTTAAAAACTCAACGGACATATCCATACACATTATTGCATTCTATGTTAAATAGTAGTTTGAAAACTCAACGGACATATTCATACACATTATTGCATTCTATGTTAAATAGTTGTTTGAAAACTCAACGGACATATTCATACACATTATTGCATTCTACATTGTATGTTAAATAGTTGTTTCAAATTCAACAGACATATTCATACACATTATTGCATTGTATGTTAAATAGTTGTTTGAAATTCAACAGATTTATTCATACACATTATTGCATTCTATGTTAAACAGTTGTTTGAAAACTCAACGGACATATTCATACACATTATTGCATTCTACATTGTATGTTAAATAGTTGTTTCAAATTCAACAGACATATTCATACACATTATTGCATTGTATGTTAAATAGTTGTTTCAAAACTCAACAGACATATTCATACACATTATTGCATTCCATGTTAAATAGTTGTTTCAATAAACAAATATACTTAACAATACCTGATACACGGCATATTGCACATATAAACTATAAAGGGTATATACATTGTATATTGCAACAATTATAGTTTCATTTTGATTGCGGACTGAAAACAAATTAACAAATTCATTGCTTTCCGACAGAGATCAAAAAAGAAATACTGACTTAAAATTGAAGCAGAAAACCATTTTTTTTCAATAATAATACAGGAGTTAAGATGTTAGTGGCTTCCATTATGTAAGTATAGAAGATGCTATCCTATAGCGTTACAGTTCTCTGAAAATTATCAACAACAGCACATTGTTAAGAAAGCAAAGCATGTGTCAACAAAGTTGCTAATTATCGACACTTGTTGACCAAACCTTTAATTTGGGACAATGAAATAAACACTGATAATGAATAAAAGCAAACATGTTTTTTCTGCTTTGTAAAATACCAATCAAATGAACTTGGCAGAACGCTCTATTGATCCACTTATATGCAAAATGTTTAACAAAAGTACAAACACACAGAGAAAAACTACCAATTAATGTTGTTATAACAAAGAAACTNACATCGTGCGCACACCGCACATCGTGTAACGTTGTGCGATCCCACAACTGTAAGTTACCCAGTCTGGTTCTGTAGTCGCAAATGGTGGATTGTGAAAGAAATTACTGTTGCAAATGGGCCCCCAGACAAAATATCCAATGCCATAGTATCCGTTTAAATTTAAACATATTTTATTGTACAAATATACAATTGGATTGGACAACAAGTTATTACAACTTAATAGAGTCCTCTCCTCAATACATATGGAAAAAAATAATGTATATGTTTTTGGTGAAAGGAAGAAAAATAGGATGGAGAAGGAAAGGTGGGAAGGGATGGGGTGGGGGTGTAACCTAGAAAAGAAAACGTGTAAACTGTGAGATCGATCCGCATTTGAATAAATTATATATTATACAAATTTCATGGCATGCATCCTGGTAGACTAATTTCAAATTGAACAGAATCAATGCAACAAAGAAATCAGGCAAAGTATTGAAATGCAATTTCATAAAACCATATTTACTCTAAAAAGATCATATTTAAGTGGACTACACTGATGTCTAAGTTTAGCGTGCAAAATGATCAATTTACGTTCACCGAAACCTAAGTAGATTGGTGGAGGAGATTGTACATTTGAAGTTAAGGAGTTTTTGAATGAATGTAATGAGGTCAATGATCGTACTGAAAGGTCCAATGAATTCCAACCGCGAAGGGTTGAAGGTATAAAAGATATTTTTTTAGAGAAAGCTTGAAAGGACAAATTCTATAATCATCATTGTTTCTAATGAAGAAAAGGTGAATAAAAATAGTGAAAAACGGGAGGGGGTGGGGGGTGG